CTGCCTTCTGATCGGCGTGTATTGTAAGAATTTTTCCTTTGTCGGACGGAAACTTCATTGCCATATGTGGTGTAGAGACTATAACTCCCAACATGTTCAATGATGACCGACCCAGAAGAATATTGTCGGAAGTGTTAGCATGTACTACTATATACTTCACTTGGATTTCCTTGTATTCCTGCTTGTCAAAACAGAAACGAGTAAAAAGCTTAATGTATCCCTTGGTGCTGTCGCAACCCGAAAATTTCTGATATTGCGACCTATGGTTTAGACATCATTTGAAAAGTCTCATCAATTAAGGAATGCCTGGACACCAGACTAATCCTTAATTAATGGTTTTGAAAATAGGTTCATGGAGTCGCCACCAATATTTTACTCAAAACATTGGAAAAAGAAAATGTTTTTAAAAGTCCAATAATGGCCTTGATAACCAGAATTGGGTTCGGGGGTCGGTTACGTGTAAGGAAGGTATTAAGCACCCCTACAACGCCCTTAATCGGTACCCTATGACGAAGTTAACATTATAAATAATAATAATATAAATATTAAATCCCCTTTTATTGATGACTATTTACATGCTTGAAATTTAAATTATACAATTAATCCTAAAATGTCTACATGATTATTTTTATTATAAATAATATTTATTAAAAATAAGAAATAAAAGAGAGAGAAGAAAATTAGCTAAAATACCTCTTGAACGAGCTCTATTAATCTTCAAAGATGGAGATTTGGGTGCTTTTTGGCAACCCTTCACACTACAATGCCTCACAAAAATCTCAAGAAATACAAAAGAGAGGAGGAGAGAGAAAAAGAGAGAAATTTCGTGCTCTAGGGAGTCTGGACGAAATTTTGGGGTCCTGAAAAATGAGCCCCAGCTGTCTATTTATAGGCTTCGGGGAGGGGGTCCAGAACGGCCCGTTCCAAAACCGGAACGGTCGTTCTGGATATGGCCGTTATGCCTAAATTTTGTACCCCAGAACGACCTGTTCTGAAATCGAAACGGCCTGTTCCGGGGGGGACCAGAACGGCCCGTTTCGGGGCCAGAACGGCCCGTTCCGGGGGAACCAGAACGACCCGTTCTGAAGGATAGTTCCTGCGCCAATTGTTATTGTACATCATCGTCATTCGGAAGATATTCCTCATGATGATAAGCTTCAATTTTTGGAAGACAGATTAAGGGCCATAGAGGGATTTGACAATTATGGTTTCAATGTTGCGGATTGTTAAGTCTCAATTATACTTCCTTTTAGACAAGACTTATTGAACAATTCCACTCATCCTATGCACCTTGCAAGATAATTGTTCTCTTTTTGATTTAATTTTGTGCAGATATAGCTAACCCAATTTCATCTAACAATACCTTGATACACCTCAATTTTTATGCAGGTATTGAGTGAAGAGTTGAAAGTTGAAGACCCATTGAATTGGAAATTAAAGAAGCTAAGGAGTAGGAGAAGAGTAATTGCGTCGGGCGCAACACTACCCGCGTCGGGCTTGAGCAAAACAGAGAGTCACACCTCTGCAATTCATAACTGCGCCAGGGGCAAGAAGGTGCGCCGGACGTGATCGAGACAGAGAGCAACTCAAACTCTCTAGAAGACGTCACGCCCGGCTTAAAAGAAATTGCGCCGGGCGTGTCTTGAGACAGAGAGTAACCAAACTCTCTGGAAGGCCCTGAGCCGGGCGCAAAGACTAATGCGCCGGACGTGATAACCCTAATCTGACTCCCCAAGCTCGTATTTGAGCAAATCTTCGAGGTCTTTCCCCTTATTCACAAATTGGGCGACTTCTAGGAGCTGAGGAAGGAATTTTCGGTGCTTGGGACCGTTCGTGTGTGGGTCTTTCCTTCGGTTCTTCATTATCTCTTCCATCTCTATTTTTGTTTCACCCTCATTGTTTTGAGCGGTTCTACCCATTATTTTGTGGGGTTAGATGTAACCAACGAAACTCTTATGTAATCTTTACGTTTTTAATGATATATATATATATATATATATGTGTTGTTTCATTCATTGTTGTGTATGTTTCTATTCTTAGTGCTTGCTTCGGATTGATCCTCCTTTGCTTGATATAGGTTCCATTGGGTATTGGAAAATAACCATCGAAACTAGCTCTGAAACAAATGCCTAGTGGGAAATGTATCTAGGAATGGAGTTTGGCCCATTAGTAGTCTTAAACCCTAACCCGTAATGCGGGTGTAGGTATTGGATACTCAAGGAATTGATATTCATTACTTGCACCTAGGCTCTTGCTCTAAGGGATTAGGTTTGAGTAACCTTATGGGTTGACTAAGCAATGAATGTAACAAGAGATTAAAGATTCATCAGTGTGTAGTTCGGTGATATTTGACCCCACAATCTTACAAAACCATAATACCATTTCTACCCTTTTCACACACAAAACAAATACTTTTATAGTTTAACATTCCAATAGTCATAACCTTTAATTCAAATTTGCATGACAAACTATGAAAATGGAATTATTCTTTAGTCACGAATAGTCAATAAATGCTTATTTTACCTACTAGTCCTTGTGGATACGATATAATTTACTACTTGAACGGCCGGTATACTTGCCGTGTTTGAGTCCGTTGATAGAATTAAAATGATTTACAATGATAACAAAAGTAGTTTCAACGAAAATCTCAACACGGATCTGTGTCTGGTTCCTGATGTTGTAATTCCTCCCAAGTTTAAAGTTCCAGAATTTGATAAATACAAGGGGAATATATGCCCAAGGAATCATCTCACTATGTATTATCGAAAGATGGCTTCATGCGCTCATGATGACAAATTGTTAATTCACTTTTTCCAAGAAAGCCTTATTGGGGCAACGCTAAGTTGGTACATGAACCTGGAGCGAGAAAGAGTGCGCACATGGAAAGACTTGGCAGAGGCTTTCTTAAAACAGTACAAGTACAATATGGACATGACCCCAGATCGCACACAGTTACAAAATATGATGAAGAAAGAGAATGAGACCTTCAAAGAATATGCCCAACGATGGAGAGGGGTAGCTTCTCAGGTACAACCTCCATTATTGGAAAAAGAGATGGTCACGATGTTCATTGATATATGGGAGTTAGGAGTGGAAAGATTGCCCACATGACAACAGGATCCACAACCATCAAGAAACCTTTAGAAACCACAAATAAGAGGAAAGGAGGTGAAATGAACGCAGTGATGACAACACCAGTCAGACCCAACTACAATCCTATTTCTTTCGTACCCAATTATAGACCCCAATATGTGTATAACCCGCAAATAGCAACAGTTTCTTTGCCACCATACCCACAACCTTACCCATCCAGAATGTGTTATCGATCACCTACACTACCACCATAATTTTCAGTACCCCAAGCAAATCAATCAGCAATTTCACCTCCCATGGTGAATAATGCTCAAAGAAGGGGTAACAATAAAAAAAATACTCTAGCTCCGATCCTTATGACCTACACTGAACTACTACCACATCTGGTTCAAATGCTCTAATCGTGCCTTTTCCTATAAAGCCTGTCCAACCTCCATATCCAAGAGGTTATGATTCAAATGCCAAATGTGAATATCATGCTGAAGCGATGGGCCATTCAACTGAGAAATGTTGGGGTTTAAAACACAAGGTACAAAACTTGATAGATGCGGGATTATTAATCTTTAAGGAAAGCGAGCCGAATGTAGGAAGTAATCCACTTCCAGGTCATGGGACTTCATCGGTTAATGTTATTGAACCTACACCCGCATTACGGGTTAGGGTTTAAGACTACTAATGGGCCAAGCTCCATTCCTATATACATTTCCCACTAGGCATTTGTTTCAGAGCTAGTTTCAATGGTTATTTTCCAATACCCAATGGAACCTATATCAAGCAAAGGAAGATCAATCCAAAGCAAGCATTAAGAATAGAAACATACACAACAATGAATGAAACAACACATATATATATCATTAAAAACGTAAAGATTACATAAGAGTTTCGTTGGTTACATCTAACCCCACAAAATAATGGGTAGAACCGCTCAAAACAATGAGGGTGAAACAAAAATAGAGATGGAAGAGATAATGAAGAACCGAAGGAAAGACCCACACACGAACGGTTCCAAGCTCCAGGAATCCCTTCCTCAGCTCCTAGAATTCACCCAATGTGTGAATGAGGGGAAAATCCTCGAAGGTTTGCTCAAATACGAGCTGGGGGAGTCAGATTAGGGTTACCACGCCTGGCGCATAATGTTTTGCGCCCGGTGCATAATGCTTTGTGCCCCGCGCATAATGCTTTGCGCCCAGCGCATAATGCTTTGCGCCCCGCGCATAATGCTTTGCGCCCCGCGCATAATGCTTTGCGCCCCGCGCATAATGCTTTGCGCCCGACGCATAATGCTTTGCGCCCGGCGCAAGGCCTTCCAGAGAGTTTGGTTTGCTCTCTGTCTCGAGCACGCCCAGCGCATTTCTGCATTATAGAGAGTGTGGCTCTCTATTCTTCTCACGCTCGGCGTGGGTAGTCTTGCGCCCGGCACAGTTACTCTTCCCTACTCCTTCCAATTCAATGGGTCTTCAACTTTCAACTCTTCACTCAATACCTGCATAAAAATTGAGGTGTATCAAGGTATTGTTAGATGAAATTGGGTTAGCTATATCTGCACAAAATTAAATCAAAAAGAGAACAATTATCTTGCAAGGTGCATAGGATGAGTGGAATTGTTCAATAAGTCTTGTCTAAAAGGAAGTATAATTGAGACTTAACAATCCGCAACATTTGCTAACTCTTTCTCCCGAGAAACCAACTAAAGGGTCATCATATGGAACGAGCTCCTTTTCCGAGATGCCTAATTGCTTGAAGGTGTTCCAGTACAGAATGTCAGCCGAACTGCCCTGATCCACCAACGTTTTCTTCACTATGCAGTTATGGATTTCAACACTAATTACCATTGGATCATCTTGAACGGGGTCAATCCCTTGGAAATCGGCTTCAGTGAATGTTATAGCTGGCAACCTCCGAACGGATTATCTATCGACCGCATTGACCGAATGGACGGCGCACAAATGCCTCTTTTGTGCCGAAGAAGTTGAACCTCCACCAGCAAAACCCCCTGCGATAGTGTTGATGACTCGCCTGTGGGAAGCTGTAGGCTCATCCTTTTTCTCACGTGATCTGCTTCGCTCACGACGAGGTCTATCAGTACGGTCTTGTCGAGGTCGGTCGTGTCTAGGTTGATATTGGCGAGACCGGTGCAAATCGGGTCGATCAACAAAATTATGAAGCTGGCCTTGCTTGATCAAATCTTCAATTTTGTCTCTGAGAGCCGCGCACTCCTCGGTGGAGTGCCCCCGATTGTGGTGATACCGACAAGATTTGCTAGTATCAGCGTGCGGTGGCGTGGAAGCCCTTTTTGGAACGGCCAGTACCTCCGATGCCAGGGCTTGTTCGAGTACTACGGCTCGGCTTGCATTGAGGGGAGTATAGTGAGTGTACTTCGGACCCCGCGTAGGTCAATCCCGAAGAGTTATCTCTTTGCCTCGCCCCCGATATGATGGTTCTACTTGCTTTTCGGGCTTTCCCGATGGTTCAACTCGGGCTTGATTGCGGAACTCAGCCAACTCCTCCATCTGCATATATTTATCAACTCGTCTTTGAAGTTCATTCATATCTGAAGGGGGCTTTTTGCAAAGGCTATTGACGAATGGCCCTGGCTTCAAAGTTGTGGTCAGATAATGGAGCGCCACTACGGGATTAAGATCTCGAATTTCTAAAGCGGTTTTGTTAAAACGGTCCATGAAAGCCCGAAGAGCCTCCTTCTTATCATGCCGAAGACTGACCAACGATAGAGATGTCAAGCTGTGAGGTCGACTCGTTGCAAATTGGACCGTGAACTAAGAGGATAGGGTATTGAACGAGTCGATAGAGTTGGGAGGGAGCCGAGTGAACCAGCTCAAGGCTCGGCCTTTTAACGATGTGGGAAAAATCCGGCACAGAGCAGCATCGTCCGTGGTGCTTAATGTCACCTGCGTAAGAAAAACATCGAGATGTTCGTCAGGATCCGATGTACCATCATATTTATCAATCGGCAACGATTTCCAGTTATCCATTAAAGGCAACTGCATGATAGAGGGAGTAAAAGGGTGCCGGTGCGATCCCACTGTCGCTTGTAGACACCCAATTTCGTCCGGGGGGCATACAAATAAGACAGATTAAGGGCCATAGAGGGATTTGACAATTATGGTTTCAATGTTGCGGATTGTTAAGTCTCAATTATACTTCCTTTTAGACAAGACTTATTGAACAATTCCACTCATCCTATGCACCTTGCAAGATAATTGTTCTCTTTTTGATTTAATTTTGTGCAGATATAGCTAACCCAATTTCATCTAACAATACCTTGATACACCTCAATTTTTATGCAGGTATTGAGTGAAGAGTTGAAAGTTGAAGACCCATTGAATTGGAAATTAAAGAAGCTAAGGAGTAGGAGAAGAGTAATTGCGTCGGGCGCAACACTACCCGCGTCGGGCTTGAGCAAAACAGAGAGTCACACCTCTGCAATTCATAACTGCGCCAGGGGCAAGAAGGTGCGCCGGACGTGATCGAGACAGAGAGCAACTCAAACTCTCTAGAAGACGTCACGCCCGGCTTAAAAGAAATTGCGCCGGGCGTGTCTTGAGACAGAGAGTAACCAAACTCTCTGGAAGGCCCTGAGCCGGGCGCAAAGACTAATGCGCCGGACGTGATAACCCTAATCTGACTCCCCAAGCTCGTATTTGAGCAAATCTTCGAGGTCTTTCCCCTTATTCACAAATTGGGCGACTTCTAGGAGCTGAGGAAGGAATTTTCGGTGCTTGGGACCGTTCGTGTGTGGGTCTTTCCTTCGGTTCTTCATTATCTCTTCCATCTCTATTTTTGTTTCACCCTCATTGTTTTGAGCGGTTCTACCCATTATTTTGTGGGGTTAGATGTAACCAACGAAACTCTTATGTAATCTTTACGTTTTTAATGATATATATATATATATATATATGTGTTGTTTCATTCATTGTTGTGTATGTTTCTATTCTTAGTGCTTGCTTCGGATTGATCCTCCTTTGCTTGATATAGGTTCCATTGGGTATTGGAAAATAACCATCGAAACTAGCTCTGAAACAAACAGCAATTGCACGAAATGTGGATGTTTTGAGTTCACCCAAGAAGGTGCTTGTTTTGAGTTTGATGCATCCTTACTTTCAGCCTTGTCCCTTTAACTTTGCTAGAGATTCACTTTTTGTTCACAATTAATAATACCTTGAAAAGATAAAGATAAGTTAAAAATATTTTTTTTTGTAAAAAAAAATAATTTTTTTACGGGTACGGGTATACCCGATACCCGACGGGGATGAGGATGAGATAAAATTTACATACCCGACGGGTATGGGGATGGGGAAGGGTATGAGTTTGAGTCGCGGGGACGAGAACGAGTATCATGAAACCCGTACCCGTCCCGCCCCATTGCCATCCCTAATCAAGTGTAAACATTTTGTTGGAATTTGGGTTAAGTCATTGTCATGGAATTCTTGCAATACCTTAAGAGGACATTACTATGCCATACATATGTCACATTATGAGAAAAGTAAATGCACGCCCTTAGAACATACACAACATATATAAACAATATAACAATTACATTCACATAAGATACACAACTTTTTAATTGAGAAAGAACACGAAACATAAAATAAAATTACATTTGTTTAACATTTTCACTAATGAAAAAAAAATACAAAATCAGTTGTTTTGAATTTGATTGTAGAACCAATTTTGTTTCTTCCAATGTTTTAACTGAACACCTTTTAAATTAGATAGCATCCATTTTAAAAGTTATATATACACAAAATCAATTATTTGTCATTTTTACTCTTGTCCAAAAGAGACAATTTTTATACTTTCTTACATGTAATAACCTAATTTCGTCCAAAATAATATTAAAAATAATTAAAATAGATAAAAAAAAATTATGAAAATAGAGTTTCGTTTTGTTTAAGGATAAAAAAATGAATGAAGGAATAATAAGAAAACAAAACAAAAGTTTAAAAAAAAAATGAATTGATAGGGAAATGAAAGCAGTGATTTTTGTTCAAAAAGAAAAAATAGATCTTTCCCATTTAATGCTAGAGATACGTATGGACATGGAAGATATTTTTTATAGTTTCACTTAAGGAATTAACAAAAATGATTCTAAATCTCCTTTTAGATTTTTTTCCCTTTGATGGGCCTAATGTATAAAACACATTGTAAAAAAGGGAGTGCATTTCACGTAAATAGGAGGGATTGAAGAAGACAAGGGGAGATCTCCTTTCTTGGAAGAAGCACCAACAATATACACAAAACAGAAAAAACATTGCGCACACACTGAGGTGGAAGAAAACACTCTTTTTAGGGAAGAAGTGCTACACACTCTTGGAGGGAGAGACCCATGCGGACACTCTTCTCCAGCCTATATCAGCCCCTGAACATTTTCTAGAGTGGGGAGAGAGGACGCATTCTAAAAAATCTCATTCGTTCCAGAAGACAAAACACTTTGGGATTATTGGTGAATCTTAACTCCACCTAGAGTTTTTCATTCTCTTTCCCCATTCTTGACTTCCTGGTAACGCAAACATGCCCAAGCATTTGGTAGCTGGCAATACGCTCTCCTCCTAACAACATCCCTGCAAGCACTCAATATAAAACTAAGCTACGCGCAAACTATAATCCTCACTGCGGGAGTCACTTGTAAAATTGAAAAAGAAAACAACTATTGAGGCCAAGAAAGCATCCCTTCGACACCCTTACGGGACACAAGAAAAAACCAAAATCATGGAAGGGGTGGTAGACAACTTGGAGCAACAACATGAGGAGATGAGAGAAGATGTAAATCAATTGAAGGAACAAATGGGAAAGATTTTGGACTTGTTGCAGTCAATGGAATCTAAAAAAGGGGCAAATGGAGAATCGTCTAAACAGCCTCATCAGTCACCTGATTACCTTCCTGGGTTTACTCCACGCACGCAACCCAACCCGAGTGTTCAAGGGTACACACCACCTTTCGTCCTAACAACCTCAGAAAATAACCATCATGTTTTCACTTCAAACCTTCAAGGCCAAATCCCATTACCTCCATATGGATTACCTCCAGGATACACGCTACCTGTGGCTAATATTCCTGAGGGTAATCCATCTACCTCCACCTTAAACCCACCAAAACAAACACAAGCCCAAAACCTAACCCTTGAAGTCAATGATCCACAAATTCCAACCCACCCGTTTGCTCATGCACCATCTACCCATATGTATGCACCACTTAATGTAATTCATGGCGAAGGGCCTCCTAATCACCAAGGGATAGTTCCTGCGCCAATTGTTATTGTACATCATCGTCATTCGGAAGATATTCCTCATGATGATAAGCTTCAATTTTTGGAAGACAGATTAAGGGCCATAGAGGGATTTGACAATTATGGTTTCAATGTTGCGGATTGTTAAGTCTCAATTATACTTCCTTTTAGACAAGACTTATTGAACAATTCCACTCATCCTATGCACCTTGCAAGATAATTGTTCTCTTTTTGATTTAATTTTGTGCAGATATAGCTAACCCAATTTCATACAACCTGATCGAGAGCCGCCGTCGAGCCTCTCAAATCAGTGAATGACAATGAGGGTACCGCCGAGTTCTTCAAAGTCAAAATCGGGATTGCCATCGAGCTCTCACCTGTGGGCCGGCTGAAGCCCTAAATATCAGTCCAGCCTGGAGAGACTGAGCTCATAATATACTCCCTCTACAACAAGCAACAAATAAAGGCACACATTATCACAAGAGAAACAATGGAGCTTCTACTCGAAGACTGAAGATCAGGTGTACAGTTTATCAACCTTGAGTACGCAATCAATGCTCAACTGCTCTAAAGGGTGAGGATACGAGCAAATACACCTGTCCAAGGGAAGCAACGCAGAAGCACCAACACAGAGACGGGAAGAAGACCCGGATGAAATGTCTACGTCTTTACTTGCCTTTGGAAAAGCAACACAGCTATTCCAAAGGACAAGTAAAGAGGGGCAGCTGTAGACACCCAATTTCGTCCGGGGGGCATACAAATAACAAGATAGGACATCAGAGGGCCCAAAGGCCCAAACCAATTTTTTAGTGGCCCGGAACGGGCCGTTCCAAAATCGGAACGACCGTTCCCAAGTCCGGAACGGGCCGTTCTCAATCAGAACGGGCCGTTCTGGGCTTCTAAAAAGCCTAAAAAAATATAGGTTGGAACGGGCCGTTCTAGACCAGAACGGGTCGTTCCGAACCAATTAAGGGGGCTTAAAATCTGTACCCGAGAACGGCCGTTCTGAAATCAGAACAGGCCGTTCTGGTTCCCCGGAACGGGCCATTCTGGTTTCAGAACGGGCCGTTCTAGGGTGCAAATGTACTGCATAACATTCGGATCCAGAACGGGCCGTTCCGAATCCAGAACGGGCCGTTCCGGCCCACATCTGATGCCTATAAATAGAGAATCTCAGCCAGCAGTTTGGGGGACCTCAAAAATTTCGTCCAAAGCTTCATAGAGCTCGAAATTTCTCCTTTTTTTCTCTCTCTCTCCTATTGTACTTCTTGAGATTTTGTGAGGCATTGTAGTGTGAAAGGTTGCCACAAAGCACCTAAAATTCTCCATAGTTGAAGATCTAATAAAGCTTGTTACGAGGTATTATTCATCAATCCCTTGTTCTATTTTTCTCTTCTTTTATTTTAATTATTGCTAGCATAAACGCAATCATGTAGATTTTTTAGGGTTCAACCGTGTAATTTAATTTTCATGTAAATAATCATTAATAAAGGGGATTAAATATTTTAATTATTATTATGTTATCTTCATCATAGGGTACCGATTTAGGGCGTTGTAGGGGTGCTTAATACCTTCCCTACACGTAACCGACCTCCGAACCCAATTCTGGTTATCAAGACCATTATTGGACTTTTAAAAACCTTTTCTTTTTCCAATGTTTTGAGTAAAACATTGGTGGCGACTCCATAAACCTATTTTCAAAACCATTAATTAAGGATTAGTCTGGTGTCCGGGCATTCCTTAAT